TTCCGAGGTCCCTTCCAGCCCTAGTGTCTATGAAATCTAAATCCAAGGGGAAAATAATTCCCGCAGAAAGGCACTGCTTTATTCGACTGCTGACGCACAGAGCTCGCAGCACCAGAGCAAGGGTACAAGGGAGCACCTTCAGACATATGGCACTGAACCTCCTGCCACCCCTTGGGCCCAGGAGCTCTGTGGCCCTTGACAAGGGTGACAGGGAACTCCAGCTGGAATCAAAGCCAGGAAAAGCGCTCTTCCACCACTCCACCTCTGGCAGCAGGTCCAGCCTGATGGTCACAGACCTACAGCAGATGTGTGACGCCCAACTGGAAGGCACTTACCGATGCGATGATGATGAGCCCAACAGAACCCAGGCAGCAATACCACTGCACCCATTGTCCCTCAACAACCACAGGTTGATTAAAGCCCAGCACCCAAGTCCTACTCCACCCTGCCTTCCCTTAAGTGATCCGACCAGTCATACCTTCTTGCTCCATCAGAACTTCTCCCAGGGCTCTGCATGCGGCTCTCTCGCCCTCCCAGGCCCCCTCTAGCTGGCCTGGGCTATAAACAGCTGCCTCCACCACAAGATCCTGGAAGCTGCCATCCAGCAAGCACTGCATTCTCCTCAGTGCCCCTGCCGCCTGTTCTGGTTCCACCTGCTGCTGCTGCAGGCTGGACTGGATCAGCACCAGCACCAGCGCTGCTGGCACACAGGGAAAGAGGCTCCTCAAGTTCCCAAGCGTCTCATCCAGAAGTTCCCACTGCACAAGTTGCCTCAGGGTGGCAGCCTGCCACAGCATGAAAACCAGCTGTGGCCGCAGCTCCTGCTCTCGCTTCTTGCTGGCCTCGTCCTGGAGGAGCTCGGTCCCGAGGTCAGCCCTACTGAATAGCTCCTGGGCAAAGACAACCCGCACAGGTGAGGCTTGTTCATGTGCGTCATCCATCTCCATCACTAACACCTGGCCCTTCCGCTGCGCAACAGCGTCTAGCAGAGTGAGGAGCTCCCAGTGGGTGGGCTTGGTGGGGAGCACCTGCAGCAGTGACTCCATGGCTGGAACAGTAAGTTTGTTCTTATTACCCCGAAGCACTGGGGGAGGGCAGCTAGGGACATCCGCAGGGAGCTGTAATGGGTGTCAGCAGTGAATGCTCAGGGAGAAAGATCAAAACGGAAGTTGTCATGCCGACTGGCTTAAATGGATGCACTTCAGGTGTTACTGAACTGGTATAATAGGAGAAGGGGGACAGGGACTTTCCACTCTCTGCACGTCTTGGAAAAAGGGGGTACCACCTACCAGAACAACTGGGAACAGAGGTCTGTTGCACCATCACATCACCAACAGAAGTTGGGACCTGATGTTCCAGTGATCAAATCGTAATGGGCAAAAGGACGTTCCTTCAGCCTCATTAGGAGGTGCTTAAGTTTCTGGCTGGCTTAGCAATTTATAGCCCACACACCCCATCGGCGCTTATTTAACATCAAATCCGAGAGGCTCTTGGCCTCAGCACTCTTCCTGGGGTGAGGGCTAGAGGTTGTGTAGTAGGCAAGATCCTTTCTACCCATTTTAAAATTTCTCTTTCATTGTGTGTGCTGTTTCAGGCAACTGGAAAGTAAATCTTACTTTCTCGGCACCATTCAGCATCCTACACCTCCATTTCTCTAAATGTCTTGGAGAGCAGACGTGTAACCAAGTGCCCTGTTAGCACTGAGCACTTCTTGTTTTAAATACTGTAGCAATAACAAAAAGCCTCCAGTCCAGGGAATCAGTGTGCAAGCTGGGTGTTGGAGGCACTGTGCTACCCTGCCTGTGCAGGAAAGACTATGCAAAATACTGCCCCCATAACAGGAACAGTCTTCACATGGCTCTGAGAGAGAAAACCTGCACCACTTCTTTCACAGCAGAGAGGAATACCACACATGCACCTAACTAACACTCCTCAGCTGCCAAGCCCAGACACAGCTTACACTCACAATGAATATTGCAGGTCCGCTCTCAGAAAGGAAGTCCCCATTCACGGCCATGGAATCAGAAGACTATGCTCATTATGTGCAAAGATGTTAAAACTCTGAATATCGGTGTGTGGTCAAACAGATTTTTAGGTTAGACATTTATCAAGGGAAATTTCAAACTGGGCGGCTTACCTGTGTCACTATCTAAGGAGGAAAGCTTTTCCCAATGGCCTTGCAATGAAACAATTTGTAGTAGGTGAAACAGCCAGTCAGCTGTCTGTTGATTGGCCAAGTTACCTTTGATGTCACAATCCCATTCCTTCCCCTCTGAATGTTAGCTATGTTGGGGGCACCTGGAAGCCCCATCACAGATTGGAGTCCTGCAGTGAAAGGCTCTTTGGAGATGACTCCTGCTACAAACTGCTTACAAGCCACTCCCTAACTCTGTCTCTTTGGGTTTAACATTCCCAACTTAAAGGCACATTAAGAAGTAAAGTAACATTGTGGTACATGTCCAGGTATATTTAAATTAGAGCCTTTTCTCAAAGGCAAAGGGGAAATGGAAAAAAAAATCATCAAGATGAGGTTCCAGTTGTATCCACCACAAGGTTTTATTAGCGATGAAAATGGACTGCTTTCAGGCAGCTCACTGTGTAGCTGAACTGTGTAAAACAGGGATTAATTAGCAGAAGAGGGTTGTTCAAGGTACTGAAAGCGTATCCTTAATGACTGTACTAAGACACCACTGCAGTTTAGAAGAGAACCAGACAAATGTGTATCCACCAAAACTCAAATTCAGACCTCTGCACATTCCCCAGTAACTACAAGCTGCCCTAACAGACCTGTACAAACTGCCCTGGTTTTGTATTAATAAAAATTAAATAGTGAAAGAGAACAAGCTTTACATTCTCTCTCAAGATTTAAAACATTTATTCCAAATTGCTCAGATACCAGGATGGGAAATGCAGTTCAATTATTTTCTTTTAGCTCTTCTACCCCAGTAATCAACCCAGTTCTCCCTTCATCATTTGCTAGGTCATCGTCCCAGGCTGTGGATTAGACAGCAGGGTTTTACAAGTATGACAGTGAAGAATAACCCCCAGAATCGAGTGACAAGAAATACTAAGAACAAAATGTACAAAAATGGAACAGACTCTACATTTTATTCTCAATAAAATTTTAGATCCTTGATGGATACAGCATCTGCAAAGAAATAAAAAAAAATTGTTAGAGATTTTATTAAAATTTTACAGTTTAATACCAACATTTCCAAATAGTTAGAATACCCATGCAGAGAAATTATAAAAGACAAGTGGCCAATCTGCTCAATACAGGGAGAAGACCAAAGGCAGAAGAACACAGAACCTGGCTCTGACTCTGCGAAGAGTACCTCACAGGAGCTGCCCAGTGCAACTTCCAACTTTGGTGGAGGGACGCAGAGACTGCAGCTGAACAAAGAGAGTTGTCGGGAGGACTTGCACCTATGCTGCTCCCACAGCTTTTTCTATATGGCCTAGAACAGAAGCCAAGTAGGACTGCATCGGACTCCGATTTTGCTCACAACAATGCCACTACAGTGACAGCACATACAGAAACGAAAGTCTGAGTGGTGTTCCCAGATGCCAGAAGAGGAGGGTATCTCAAGGAGCTATGGAGAACAGCATACCAGAGCTTTGGGTGGGGGCAACAACAATGGACTTCAGAAGTGTTGCACCTAGCCATCAACCTGGAAGGCCGATACAAGGGCCCTAAAGGCAGCAAGAAACCCCAGAATACCTCCCCTAATGAAAGGAAAGGAAGAAGGGAACAGAAGAAAAACTAAGAGGAGCAAAAGGAAGGAGAGTGTATGAGTTGTACAGGCAACCCCCGCTTAGCGCTCTTAATTAGTTCCTGAAAAAACGAGTGTTAAGCGAAACGAGCGTTAAGCAAAACCAAAAGTATTTGACAACCCAAGATGGCAACCATGAGTGTTATAATGAAGCTTGCTGAGCGCTAAGTGGAATCAGGTATCAATTTAAAAGTGAGTGCTATAGCGAAACAGTGGCAAGTGAAACAGCGTTAAGCAGGGGGTGCCTGTACAAAGATTGAGAGACAAGACGACAAAAGTAAATGCTTTTAGAGGGAGATTGCCAAAGACTCAGCCATAGATGACTTCCCACTATCCAGAGCAGGATGTGGGACACTACAGCAAAATCAAATGTTTCAATGCTCAAATGTGGTGTTATTGAGGGGCTTCCAATTCCTAAGCCCTGCAACTATCACAGGAAGCCACTGTACAGTCTCCTGGGGAACAGGTCAAACACTTGGGACAGAACCTACCACTGCAGAGCTGAAAGTGGCTAGGCAGGTCACAACAAGATTCGCTGTACTTACCACTCTGATTCTGTGACCAATGGCCTTGGCTGGAAGGTTGGAGCGGAACTTGGCACGAACCATGCCGCTGTTTCCATGGGCACGGGTCACCTTCCCCCAGATGACTCGTGTTCTGTTGGGCTTGCCACCAGGAGTTACGGTGTTGCTAACAGTGAGAAAGGGAATGTTAACTTCTGGGCATGACACTCCTAGCACAGTCCTGGCTCAGTTAAGGTGACAGCTGCAAATGAGCAGTTTCCCTTCCTGTATTTCTAGGACTGCCTTGGAACGTCCAGGCTGGAAGCCGCTTGTAGACATACGGGGACTGGTCACCTGTACTGCAAACAGCTTGGCCGCAAGCACAGAGAAATGCTATGCATAAAGAAAAAGTATGGTGCTCTCATGTTACAGCAGTATTGAGATTCCTAGATCAGAAATATGGCAGAGGAGTGCTTATTATCTTGCATTTAACACTGTGTACACTGCATGCACCACCAAGACGTGAGAAAACCAGAAGCACTGCTTTAAGCAGCAGTTCTGTATCTGGCTTATATACATTTAGAAATTCATAGAATTAAATCAAACTAAGAAAATATGAAAAGGTCCCAACCTTGGTTGTTTAAATGAGACCAGGAGCTGGACCAATTTAATTAGACATATTTAAACAAGCAACCTAAGCTAAACCTGAACAAGTTGTGTGTAAACCACCTCACCTGGGATTTGCCCATATATACCATCCCTGTCATTTCAACCTGAACCCTAGCAAACACTTCAAATAATGAGCTAAGCCTGCTGCCTGGATGTTTGAGAAGGTCTGGCATAGACCAGAGGCTGTTACTATAATCATGCGAACTGTACACACACCTACCTGATAGCACACTTCTTTGTATAACTTCAGAAGCTTATCAATGAGAACTAAGACTTGCTTAACACAGACAGGATAAATAGCATTTGAGAATGTACCAAGTACAAATAATGAAGTCTTAATGCCGTCATGTGAAATTTGGAAAGACTGTATATTCTCTCCTCAATATGAAATAACCTGTAACTTTACTTCAGGTGATGTATATTATCTACAGCACTAAGACGGTAGCACAGCTAAGAGCCAAATGTAAAAGTAGGCAGACTTCAGTGAATGTAATAAGATCATACCCAGGCCACTCTAAAAAAAAAACCAAAAACCTTCATTAGAGCTGAACCAACCTCCTAGTAAGGGTTTGATAACAAAGATATGCTTTTACTACGTATGCCTGGAAAGTCAAAAGACAGAGGGCTTCCTTTTGAAAACGCCCTGCTGTCCTGTCCTGGGCCGCACATGCTTATCTAGAGGCTGCCTGTGCGAGTATCCCCAGGGATTTCAGTTGCACAGAAAAACCACAAAGGACTCCAAGTCCAGAGCAGAACATGCTAAATAGCATCCTGAAACAGTGGAAATGGGAGCAGCCATTAAAGTGCCGGTGGACCCTGTCTGAAATGCCATGAACAGGAGGTCCCCTTCCACACTACCTGGCTGTGCAGTAAAGTGGTCTGCAGCAAGGTCCACAGCAGTAAAGTCACAACTTCCAGGTAAGCAGAGAAGGGAATAAAGCACATACCTACCCTACACTCCACAGCACTCATCACCTCAGTAGGGGCAGCAGTGGGGAAATGTGTGTGTGCATCTAGAAACAGCCCAGCCACGTAACCCCTTTAAGAGTACAACTCAGACCTTCCTGTTAATTCTGCTGTAAGAGTCCAAACACCATGATGACAGACCCTTCAGTCCAGTTCATCACTGAATGCAAACAGCACACACCAGCACCTCGGAGAAGATGCAGGCCCACCCATTACTCTTCCCCTTAGTCTTCTATCACAACAGCAATGAAACCAATTAGCACATTGTAGAACTAAATTCATTTGTTGCATAGACGTTCTGAAGTGAAAAAAAAAAAAATCACATATTGAAATTGACATGACCAACATACAAATCTATGTGGCCACTTTGCCTGTTTTATCTTTAGGCTGGAAATCCAAATAGACTACTTGCGACCCAATAAATTTTCCTGTCAAACTTGGCACGACTATTTAGCACAACAGTCAGAAGCTAATTTACTTACTTTTTAGCTTTGTAAACATACGCACATCTCTTGCCCAAGTAGAATTCAGTCTCTTGGCGGGCGTAAACGCCTTCAATTTTTAGAAGGGCTGTGTGCTCCCTCTGGTTTCGAAGGCCTCGCTTATAGCCAGCAAAAGTGGCCTTGGACCACAGTCTAAGAAACAGCAAGCATGTTAATGAACTGAAAATCAACAGCAAGCAACCTGGATTTCTGAATAAGCTATTTCTGAAGGGACTGCATGCATGCTGGGAACAAGAAATAGTGCTTTATGTCACAAGGAAGTAAATACACCAGCATCCACAATTAGGGGCGAATAAGGAAGCTTCCACAGCAAGAGACATTTATAAACAGCTCTCCTTCTCTCCATTAGAAACCTTTTTCCTCCCATGATTATCACTAAAAAGATAACATTAAGAAGCAATTTGCTTTTTTTAAAGTTCTTTATACACACTCATTTCAAAATGTCCAGAAAATAGATTCTATCACTTTGTTTTTATACATGGTAATGCAGATTAGTTGATTTTGGATCTTTGCTACAGTAACCAACTCTGTAATAAGAGGCATAGCAACAAAGTGCTGTTGCTGTATCAAAATGATTTTTTGCAGTCTCTATGGGGAAATGCAAGCATGTTCCATGTGGACAGTGTAGGACTCCAGCACAATTCAGGACACTTGAAACCAACAGCCAGAGTCCTAGAACTGTGCTTAATTGTATCAGAACAAATATCCTATAAAGCTTGCTTAGCCTGGGTACTATTATAAGGTAAATCCTTTTGGACAAGATTTAAAATTTGTCACCAGTATTTTCACAAGACAGATCCTTTTGTTCAAAATTTAAATCTGTAACTAACAGGGTGGATTTGATTTAAATCACTAGGCAGGAAAAGCCTTGGTTTAATTACTGATTTCTACAAGAAGTGCACTGTTGTTTGATATCCTTTATTCGTTTAATTTCTTGAAACTTTGCATTTTTAGGGAGAGGTAAGGGCTTGACTGTGTGCACCCAAACTTGCAGAGAGACAATAGGGCTGATGGGGCGAGTAATCAGTAGTGGTGTGCAGGTATATCCGTCCATATCGGATCAGCACCGATAAAAGGAAAACTGAAATTATTGGCAATCACCCTTTTTTGTCTGGTGTAGCCAATAACATCACTGATAAATGCCACATGCATGTGCACAGCTGCAGCATCCACACAGCCAGGAATGCAGGCTAGCAGCTTGGAGAGCAGTGTCCTGCTGGTAAGTTTGTGGGGGGTAGGGGGGCAGATTGAGGCCCCCATAGTGAGAGAGAGAGAGACTGGGGTAGGTGCAACCCAGCTGGGTTGAAGCATGGAACAGAGCTGTGGGTGGCTCATCAGGGGGGGCATGGAAGGATGGGCAGCTCCCTGCTGCTGCACACACCCCAGGGGAGACAAGGGGGGCATGTGCCCCCCACCAGATTTGTGCGCAGGGTGAGGGTGAGCTGCCTGCTGTGGGCTCAGGGACTGCACCAACCTCTTCCTGGTGGTGGTGGGGGACTACAGCCACCCCAAAAATTCACCGTAGACCCCCACTCCCAGCACCGCCACTCCCCACCTCAAGAGCAGCCCTGACCCAGCACCCTCACCAAGAAGAGGCCAACGTAGGCCCCAGGACCGAAGCAGGCAGCCCACCCTTGCTCTGTGCACAAATCCAGGGGGCACACGCCCACCGTCTCCCCCGAGGGTGCACACCAGCAGCAGGGAGCCACCCACCTTCTGCTTTCCCCTGATAGACCACCCGCAGCTCGGGCCTGTGTCCTGCCCTGGCTGGGCAATGCCTGTCCCATTCCCTCCCTCACCATGGGGGCTTTGAATTACACCCCCTCCCCCAACAGACTTACCAGCTGGACGCTGCCAGGCTGCTTATCAGCACTCGGAGCGGAATCAGCTGATATGGCCTTTGGTATTAACCAAATAATTGGTATTAGTGGTACACTCCTAATAAAAGATATCACATCTTCCCAAAGAACTTTGTCTGCCTGTGAACTCTGGAGAGACAAATCCACTGTCTGAGAACTGAAATGAAGCATCACAGAGATGTTTAATGGGATCTTCTAGACTGAGCACTGAGTAGAGTGGTTTTCTTTAATCTTTAGTAATCTACAGAGAAACCTCTCGGAACCCCATAAGATTGGGCCCCTAATATAGACCACGGCTTGTAATGACCCATTTATAAAACTTGTAAAAAGGTTGCACGAATACACAAGGTGTTTATATAAAGTCCTTGTGTAACTTTATAAACATGAATAACTTTGGGTGTGCACGATAGAAGCAAACCAAAACGGCATGCTTATACTATGCTAAAAAATTTAATTATGGTTTCAATTACTATTTACAGTTTCCTATAACAGCCAAAGTTATTCAAGTTTAAAGTTGCACAAGAACTTTATAAACACCTGTATATTTGTGTAACCTTTGCAGAAGCTTTATAATGCATCACAACAGGCTGGGACCTATATTAGGGGCCCAATCATTGGATCATAGACACAGGAGGGACGCCAGACCACCTACTGTTAGTGCAGACTTAGTGATGGGGCACTTGGAGGGGCTGGATGTGTTCAAATCAGTGGGCCCGATAATCTTCACTCAAGGGTGCTGAAGGAATTGGCCAGTGTCATAGCAGACCCGCTGGCACGGCTGTTTGAGAGCTCGTGGTGCTCCAGTCAGGTCTCAGAGGACTGGAAAAGGACAATGTGGTCCCTATTTTCAAGAAGGGGAGGAGGGAAGAAGAAGGGTAACTAAAGGCCAGTTAGTCTCACCTCTATCCTTGGGAAAACTCTGGAAAAAATTATTAAGGATCACATTTGTGGGAGCCCAGCAAAGGAAATAATGCTGAAAGGAAATCAGCAGAGATTCAATGCAGGTAGATCCTGCCTGACTAACCTTGTTTCTTTTTATGACCAGGTCACAAAATGCGTAGACACAGGAGTTGAGGTAGATGTCATCTACCTAGACTTTAAGAAGGCCTTCGATACAGTATCTCATTCTGTTCAGGTAAAAAAACTGACAGGCTGTGACGTTGATAATTACATGGTCAGGTGGGTGACAAACTGGCTTAGGACAGGATGGAAAAATGGGCAGAACGAAACAGGATGCAATTCAACAAAGATAAGTGCAAAGTGCTGCACCTGGGCAAAAAGAACCACCAACAGCACACTGACAGGCTGTGGGGCAACCTTCTCAGCAGCACTGCAGTGGAAAGGGATCTCAGAGTCATAGGTGACTTCAGGATGCACATGAGTCGTCAGTGTGACGAAGCGATCAATAAGGCTAACTGTGCTTTATCATGCATTAGCAGGTGCGTGACAGAGGTGATGCTTCCCCTCTATGTGGCACTGGTCAGGCCATAGTTGCAGTGCTGTGTCCAGTTTTGGGCACCACACTTCCAAGAGGGATGTGGACAATCTTGAGATGTTTCAGAGGTGGCCATTTGTATGGTCAGGGGCCTGCAGGCAAGGCCCTACAAGGAGAGACCAAGGGACCTGGATCTCTTCAACTTTTGCAGGAGAAGGCTAAGAGGCGATCTTGTGGCTGCTTATAATTCATCAGGGGAGGGCAACAGGGAATAGGAGATGCTCCGTGTACCAGGGCACCCCTGGAGTAACTAGGAACAACAGCTACAAATTGACGGAGAGCAGATTTAGGTTGGACATTAGGAAGAACTTCTTCAGTAAGGGTTGCTGGGATCTGGAATGGGCTCCAAGGGAGGTGGTGCTCTCCCCTACCCCGGAGGTCTTCAAGAGGAGACCGGACAAGCACCTGGCTGGGGTTTGTCTGACCCCAGTACTCTTTACTGCCCAGGGCAAGGGGTCAGACTTGATGACCTACTGAGGTCCCTTCTGAGCCGAACATGCATGAATCTTATGCAGTTCCCAGAGCTTAAAGTTATTAAAATCACACCAGGACTTTATAAAGACTTGTGTAACCTTTTTACAAGTTTGATAAATAAGTCACGACAGGCCATGGACTATATCAGAGGTCCAATTTTATGGGGTTCCCAGAGGCTGCTCTACAGATGAAAGTTATTAAACCAGGACTTTAGAAACACTTTGTATACTCGTGTAACATCTGACAGGCTGCGGACTATGTCAGGGGCCCAATCTCAAGAGGCTCCTCTACAAATTAAAGTCACCCAAGTTGCACCAGGAATTGAGAAGTGCCCCCCACATCCTCTCTAGGAGTTCATAATTAGCTGTTATAGTTATCAATAATAATTCCTATTCCATGATGATATTTCAGAGGTTTAACAGACCGTAAATTAAAACGATCTTTATAGCAATTAAAAGCATCTTAACCACAAAAAAAGCAATTAAAAAAACAAACTTATTTCAATAAACAGCCCCCTGCTTTTCCTCCATCCCTCCCCCCCGGTAACCCGGTCGTGGTACGGGGCAGCCGCCCGGGCCCCACGAGTCGCTCCCGGCCGCGGCGGGAGGCTGCGCGGCTCGGGCAGGGCTCTCACCTCCCGGACATGGCAGCGCGGCGCTGGTCCCGGCGGCCTGCAACCAGAGACGTGGTGTGAGCACCGCGGAGCCGGCTCCGCACCATCCGCCGCGCA